CTAGGAATAAAGTTGAAAAAGTGTGGCACACTAACATTCACACACACACAGACATATATATATATATATATATATATATATATATATATATATATGTGTAATGTCTGATGACAGCCTACTCAAGATGCTAATGTACAGCCAGTTAGATCAGGGCTACAGGAATGTAGGACGCCCATGGCTGAGATACAAAGACAAGCTGAAAAGCAACTTGTCAGCAGTCAATATACCACATAACACCCTTGAGCGCTTAGCTTTGGATCGGATAGAATGGAGATCAACGTGTTTTAGTGGACTCAGCAATTTTCAATCTGCTTGTCTGAATCATCTTCAAGAAGCGAGAGCAAGATCTAAAAGGTCAGCCAATCTAAAAGTGATCTCATCTCACAATTCTCACGCCTGCTCCATATGTGGCCCCCTTTGTAAATCACTAGCGGGTCTTAAATGACACTTAAGATTATCGCACAAACTTTCATATCTGAATCAATAAGCTGTCAGATCCTCACACGTCGAAACCGACGGGAGAGTCCATTATTATTATTATTATTATTATTATTATTATTATTATTTTTGCATACGGACAAAAACAACTTACTCACTACAAAGATGCATTCTTGCTTCGATGCGGTTGCTCATAACCATTTTTGGTCTCCAGCAGTCGAGATGCAGCCGCAACGAAACAAGAATGCATCTTTGTAGTGAGTGACTTGTTTTTTTGTCAGTATGTAAAAATTATAATAAATAGTTATTGCTCTACTCTTGGTATTGAGACCTCTTTTGAATTAATGCTGTGAACGTTAGAATTTATATTATTTTCGTTCTTATTACATTCGGAGATATATATATATATATATATATATATATATATATATATATATATATATATATGCGTGTGTGTACCGTTCGTATTCAAGGCAATAAAATGTAATGCATTTATAACTATAAAATAGATTATGCCAATCTGATGGTGCATAAATTTTTTTTTAAATGTTGGCTGCGTTCACAGAAGTATTTAACAAAAGAAAGAAAAGCGTTTGCATATTTATTTACGGGTTTTTATTGTGACTGTCGTCTTTTGAATACGTTCACGCGCGAACAAACATTGACGAATATCGTACCTTGGCGATGTCGACGTGTTTAGACGATTTTACGCGCTTGACGGGAAACTCACCCAAATCTTCGTCCCCGAGGCCCAGCCATGAAACGGTCGTTACATTGTATCAAAATGACATTAGGAAGACGACGCTCCCTCTGGCAGACACGTTCGCCGCTGTAATGAATTAGATCCACACTGGGTGTCTCACAATTATTTCATTGTGTCATATTAAGCAGAGCTTAACAACTCTCACAATGGCATGATGCTAAAACGGATCCTCATTTTGCGATCCATATATATATATATATATATATATATATATATATATATATATTACATGAATCATTTATACAAAAAACTACTACAGCAAAAGAATTCTCCAATTACCATATTAGTAAAAAAACGCACTCTTTTTTAAAATTTTCAAAAAAATTCAACCTTAGCGTTGCGACCGCACGCTCCAAGATTTCTTACCGTTAAACAATAACACATTTCTAAAAAACATATTTCGACTCACATCTAATCTTTCGTGGCCCGTTATTACCTGGATGTATTATCAAAAAAACAAATCAATTTCCATATCTGGTGATGTCTGTATGAACAGATGAAAATACTAGCAAAAAAAAAAAGACCTTATACAAGTTGAATTTATTAAAAACAGGGATCATAACATTCATCTAGAGGTTCGGGGGTTAATGTAATTTTAATAAATTTGTTTGCGAAGATGTATTCTCGCCATTTATATCATAAAACTTCACTAATCTGTTTTTCTATGAATGATTCATGTAATATGAATTGAACTGCACCACATATTTGATATATATATATATATATATATGGACCGCAAAATTTATATTAATCTTTTTGTGGTTCTTATTTTATTTTCAAGTGACGTTTTGAATTTCTATGTTTCAAACATATTGCTGATGACATTTTATTAATAACATCAGAAGAATTCAAAGAAATACTAAAATATCAGTAAAAGGGACATGGTAAGTAAGATGAACAGAAATAAGACAAAACTATTGTCTACTTATAATACGCCGCAAAAAAAGGTAAAGAACTAAGGATGAAGAACTGGAAGAAACCCTGGAATACATCTGTTTACAAAATGCCATAATGTTAATGAAAAATGAGAAAGAACATGAACATTTTTTAAAATAATAATATATATATATATATATATATATATATATATATATATATATATATATATATATATATACCGGGTGTAACAGCAAAATTGTCCAAATTGTGTAACTGCATGATTGTCAATCCCACAAAATGTTTAATACCTAAAAACAAAAAACAAAAAAAAACACTGAACTAATTCAGTTTCTTTTTTTAAAGTTTTTTGCTATCTCGACACCATTTGTCGTAAGAATCACTAAAAACCATCTGAGTCATTCAGCTAGAAAGAGAAAAGGTGAAAATCGTTTTGTGTCAGCCTCACTGTCTTCTCGACTGAGCAATGGTGGGAGGAAAAAGATCATTCAGGCTTTCAGTAATAGTACCAACATTCATACTCTGGCTTTCATCTTCAAACCCCATTCAAGAACCATCAAGAGAACGGTTAATAGGTTTAAAAAAAGATCAAACAGTAGAGAGGAAAACTACATCAGGAGATCACAACAGAGAGAGGGATCATCATTTCAACTTAAGAACCAAAGAGATCAATTAGAAAAGATCCATCTCAATCCATAAGATGTTTGGCACGTGAGAGGGGAGTTTTAGCTATGGCAGTCCAAAGAACAGTGAAAAGAGACTTGAAAATGAAATCGTACATGAAACATGTGAGGCAACTTGTTACACCAGAACAGAAGTTAGAAGATTAGAGAGGGCGAAGATCATCTTGAATAAGTTTGAAATGGATCCTGGAATAATATATATATATAGGATGTCATTTTCGTTTATGATCGATTTCATCACAATTCTTCTGTTAAGCTTGAAGAGTAATCGTTATGGTCCGGTTCCTTGTACCACAGTGATAGTCCAAGGTAGAACCAATAAAGAAGAACTCGAACATAGAATAACACAGATATATTACAAACAGGAATATATACAGAGAAGTAGAAGTGTTAGTATGAACAATCAGGTTTAGTAGAGAGACCAGTATCACTATTCCAATGTCTTGCAGTAATTGTCTGAATGTGACTCTGTTTCGGACTGCCTCTGACTCGACTCTTGACTCGACTTGAACTACTGACTCTACTGACTCCACTGACTCCACTTGAACTACTGACGATATTCAGTCACCACCCCACGAGGGCGTCATGTGGCACAAGGCCGGTTTAACGTGAGATCTCCGAGCCCGTGAGCTCGTCCAAAAATATGCCCCTTGAACCCGTATAAACGGGTTTAGGGTCGGTTTACCTCCCCGAACGAGACTCCGCCCCTCGGCGTAGCCTCGTTCGGGTTCCTCCTCGCCCGAAGGAAGAGAATTCAACCGATCTGTCGTTCAAGACTTGAGCGACTGAGGATATTCAGTCAACCCTCCACCCCACCCCGCCACTGGGGCATCACGTGACACAAAGTCGGTTATTTAACACGGACGTAGTTTATCGTCTTACCCAGGACGCGGATGTAGTTTATCGCCACACCCAAGACGGAAAACCTCCTGATCAGAGGCCTTGCTGTTGGATGTAGTTTATCGTCTTACCCAGGATGCGGATGTATTTTATCCTCTTACCCAGGGCGCGGATGTAGTTTATCGTCTTACCCAGGGCGTGGATGTAGTTTATCGTCTTACCCAGGACGCGGATGTAGTTTTATCGCCATATCCAGGACGGAAAACATTCTGATCAGATGGCTTGCCGTTGGATGTAGTTTAAGGTCTTACGCAGGACGCGTATGTATTTTATCGTCAAAGTCATTTCATGAATTTTCTTTTCATTTCTTCTTCTTCATTTTTATTATTATTATTATTATTGCTGTTGATTATACCCACTCAATTTTCACACTGGTTCTATCCCAAGACTTTCACTGGAGATCAAGTGCCAGCAAGTATCTTAACTAATCCAGCACCCACCTCAGTATCTCCGCCAATTTTATTAAGACTGTCGATTGGATAAATTCCATCCCCGTTCGGAATACGAATTTTGGAGAATAATTTACGCGTCTGTATGTTCACACTTCCAATCAAATAAGATCAGAAGCCATGAGAGCCATGCCTGCAGTAACATCAGAGTAAATATTATTATTATTGTTATTATTATTACATTGATACATATCTGGTGTTTATATCCTCGTATGTATTTACTTGGGTTTAATTATCAACTTTTTGCATGTCATTTAAAGTCAGAAAATATTTTTATATTGTAAAAGGTTTTTGTTTACTGATACATATCCTAATGATTAGCCCATAGCTGGGGAAGAAGTGGATTCGTGCTTTTCTCAAGCGTATTTGCGTTTAAGTTAATAAAACGAACTCGGCTGGAACTGGAACTCGGCCCTAGGATTTTCAATTCCGGGCCATTATCCATTACACCACCCGCACACCCAGCTTACAGCACCTGGTATTACCAAACGGTCAACAGTCTAGGCGCTGACCAGGTTGCACGGTTGTTTCAATGTGATATGGACGTATGTCAATCTGTCAGTAAAAGATAATTATAAAGCCAGATGTTGTTTATCGGATAAAAACCTGTTGAACAGCAAAATAAATAAATATTTTCGCAGAGATACATTTCATCAGTGCAATGAAAATAAACTTTTTTAAAAAATTCATAAAAAAAAAAATATTTAGATTATTTACTCTCCTACAGTTTCAACTTTCTTTTTGGTTGCACTCACTCTCACACTGTTTCGGCCGTTGTGCTCTCCGGTGTTCGTCAGGTGGTCGTCGATCCGGGACAATAGCATTTTTTTACCTCGTCCTGGGACAAGTCAGTATTGTTGCATTTGTAACCTAGAAGGGTTTCCGATGCAGGAAAGAAAGAAAGAAAGAAAGAAAGAAAGAAAGAAAGAAAGAAAATCTGAAAAGCGGACAGAAAGAAAGTAACTGAAAAGGAAAAAGAAAAGAGAAAATATTAAAAAAACAGAAAAATGAAAGTGTTGGTTCGTAAATGATATAATAATTGCGAGTTCGATTCCTGAAGGTGGCAGTGTGCATCTGGACTCGTAGTCGTAGTAAGCAATATCTCGGCAGTAGTAAATAAGAACAAGACGAGATGATCACGGACATACTCAGCAGAATGAGAATAATCTGCTTCCGTAGATTAAATAAAGTGTCGTCTTAGTAATTTCCGAAGATTGCGCGGATCGACAATCATTCTGAGGAAAGCCGCAATATTTCGCATGTAAATAATGATAACTCATTACCTCAGGAATTCAGGTAGGAAAAAAGAACAGAAACAATTCATGTCCAAAATAGATAGATAGATAGATAGATAGATAGATAGATAGATCGAAAATCGAAAAACTTATATGTGTGAGTTTGAGTGTGATAGATATGAAAAGATTGAGATATGTAGGCATGAAATGAGCGATAAATATATATATATATATATATATATATATATATATATATATATATATATATATATATATATTGGGAGAGAAAGAAAGAGAGAGATGGAGAGAGAGATTTATGCATATATGTATGTTTGTGTGTGTGTGTGTGATAGAAAGATACATAAACTTATGTCTGTCTCTGTGTGATAGACATATTTGTGAGTGTGTCTGGTTGTGTGTGGTAGATAGATAGATAGATAGATAGATAGATAGATAGAAAAACTTATATGTGTGAGTCTGAGTGTGATAGATATGAAAAGATTGAGATATGTAGGCATGAAATGAGCGATAAATATATATATATATATATAGAGAGAGAGAGAGAGAGAGAGAAAAAAGAAAGAGAGAGGAAGAAGGTGAGAGATTTATGCATGTATTTATGTTTATGTGTGTGAGTGTGTGTGTGATAGAAAGATATATAAACTTATGCCTGTCGCTGTGTGATAGACATATCTGTGAGTGTGTCTGGCTGTGTGTGGTAGTTAGATAGATAGATAAATATGGACAGACCAAGTTAGATAGATAGATAGATAGATAGATAGATAGATAGATAGATAGATAGATAGATAGATATGAACAGACTGAGATATATAGACACGAACCGACCAAGGCAGATAGATAGATAGATAGATAGATATGAAAAGATTGAGATATGTAGGCACGAAACGAGCGATATATATATATATATATATATATATATATATATATATATATATATATATATACAGAGAGAGAGAGAGAGTGAGAGAGAGGAAGAGAGATTTATGCATGTGTGTGTTTGTTTATCTGTGTGTGTGTGTGTGTGTGTGTGTGTGTGTGTGTGTGTGTGTGTGTGTGTGTGTGTGTGTGATAAAAAGATATATAGACTTATGTCTGTCTGTGTGTGATAGATATATACTTATATCTGAAAGTGTGTCTGGTTGTGTGATAGATAGATAGATAGATAGATGTGAACAGACCGAGATAGATAGATATGGACAGACCGAGATAGATAGATAGATAGATAGATAGATAGATAGATAGATAGATAGATAGATATGGAAATACCGAGATAGATAGATAGATAGATAGATAGATATGAACAGAATGAGAATATAGACACGCACCGACCCATTCAGATAGATAAATAAATAGATAGATACGAACCGACCAAAACACATACCGACCAAGGAAAATATTACCATTAAATGATAATACCAAAAACGATTAAAAATGACAGCTAATATGGTTTATTGACCCTCTCCCCTTGAGAGCAAAGGTCGAATACAAAAATGTGCACATCGACTATACAATATCATATCCAAGACAAATTTTATATGCAAGAAAATATAACGTTAATAGTTTAACGGCCTTTAAGTCCAACAATCGCTCCTCTGCTTACAGAAAGATGGCTGGCCTGACTTAATATATACTGATTCTAAAACTTTCATTTTCCAAAACATTCAAGTTTCCAAAACTTTCAAGATTACAAAACTTTCAAACTCACAATTAGCCTTACTCAGCACTGAGAATATGGCTAGCCTATTAGACCAGATACACAAATGTTCTTTTGTGTTATGAATTTTATTTTAATGTTCCTTTTTGTCGCGCTAATAGAATAAATGGATAAATGGAGTATTTTTCAAAATTAAATAGGAATAGGGTTTTTTTTTAAAAAAAAAGAAAAAAGATGTAAAAAATGTAGAATTACCAATCAGCAAAAGGACTTTCATGTTCGCTGCAGAAAAACACCTGCGGTTTGAGATTAAAAAAATTTCTTTATTTTATGTAAATAATTTTTTTTGTGACGGGGGCTACCAATTTTTTTCTTTTTTTTTAATTTTTTATTTTTTTTTACCTCGTCCTGGGACAAGTCAGTATTGTTGCATTTGTAACCTCGAAGGGTTTCCGATGCAAGAAAGAAAGAAAGAAAGAAAGAAAGAAAGAAAGAAAGAAAGAAAGAAAGAAAGAAAGACTAAAAACAGACAGAAATAAAGCAACTGAAAAGGAAAAAAACAGAAAATATTAAAAGAAAGAAAGAAAGAAAGAAATAAAGAAAGAAAGAAAGATCTAAAACGGACTGAAAGAAAGAAAACTCAAAAGGAAAAAAAAAGAAAAAATTAAAAAAGACAGATAAATGAAACTCAAAAAAGAAAGAAAGAAAGAAAGAGAGAGAGAGAAAGAGAGAAAGAAAGAAAGAAAATTGATAATCCTGAAGGGAAGAAAGAAAGAAATGAAATATTGGAAGAAAGAAAGAAAGAACAAAATAAAGAAAGAAAGAAAGAAAGAAAGAAAGAAAGAAAGAAAGAAAGAAATCGATAATCCTGAAGGAAGAAAGAAAGAAATGAAATATTGGAAGGAAGAAAGAAAAGAACAGATAAAAGAAAGAAAGAAAGAAAGAAAGAAAGAAAGAAAGAAAGAAAGAAGAAATATCAGTTGGAAAGAAAGAAAGAAAGAAAGAAAGAAAGAAAGAAAGAAAGAACAAAAGAAAGTGAGCCATCTTTTCTGCCGGCGCTGGCGAATCGACTCTTCAATTGATGCTAATAGGGGTGGAAGCGTGTTTAGTTATTGACGAATACTGAGCCGACCTCTCCCCTACCCATTTTCCTTGGACTGCCCTCGAAGTGCTAGCATCCGGTTCCGGCTGTCTCAATTTCCGCCGATCTATTCATTTTCCAGACTTCCCCGTTTCTTGAGGATGTCATAATTGTGTAAAAGGGTGGACCCATATACCACCCGCAGGTTTTCATTTACAACCTGAACATAGAGGAATTTATAAGCGGGTGGTTGTAGTAAGTGGGTGGTTCGATTGTCGATATATCGTTAATGCACAATGCGTCGATGTTGGTTTGGGAAACCAAGAAAATTTACCTCAGACTGAAAAAAAATAATAGCAAAAATACTTCCATCATATATATATATATATGTGTATGTGTGTGTGTGTGTGTGTGTGTGTGTGTGTGTGTGTGTGTGTGTGTGTGTGTGTGTGTGTGTGTGTGTGTGTGTGTGTGATATTAACAGATTCAGATATATAAGCGCGAAACGAGCGAGACATATATATATATATATATATATATATATATAGAGAGAGAGAGAGAGAGAAAGAGAGAGAGAGATTTATGCATGGGTGGGTGGGTGTTTGTGTGTAATAGTTGGATAGAAACAAATTGAGATATATAGACACAAACCGATCACGATAGATAGATAGATAGATAGATAGATAAACTTATATATGTGTGCCTGTGTGTGATAGATAGATAGATAGATAGGTAGATAGATAGATACGAACAGACTGAGATATATAGGCGTGAAACGAGCGAGACATATATATATATATATATATATATATATATATAGAGAGAGAGAGAGAGACATTTATGCATGTATGTGTGTATGTTTATCTGTGTGTGTGTGTGTGTGATATTAACAGATTGAGATATATAAGCGCGAAACAGGCAGAGACATATATATATATATATATATATATATATAGAGAGAGAGAGAGAGAGAGAGAAGAGAGAGAGAGATTTATGCATGGGTGGGTGGGTGTTTGTGTGTGATAGATAGATAGGAACAAATTGAGATATATAGACACGAACCGATCACGATAGATAGATAGATAGATAGATAGATAGATAGATAAACTTATATATGTGTGCCTGTGTGTGATAGATAGATAGATAGATAGATAGGTAGATAGATAGATAGATACGGACAGACTGAGATATATAGGCGCGAAACGAGCGAGACATATATATATATATATATATATATATATATATAGAGAGAGAGAGAGAGACATTTATGCATGTATGTGTGTATGTTTATCTCTCTCTCTCTCTCTCTCTCTCTCTCTCTCTCTCTCTGTGTGTGTGTGTGTGTGTGTGTGTGTGATAGATAGATAGATAGATAAATATAAACAGACTGAAATATATAAACACGAACTGGCCAAGGCAGATAGATAAATAGATAGATAGTGAAAGAAAGAAAGAAAGAAAACTATATGTATTTATATGAATATACGTGTGTATATGGGCACAAACGCGCACACAAATGCATGCACACACACAAACGAATTTTAAAATCAATGAATGTTAGACAATTTCCTCATGGATGAAGGGGATACATGAGGCAATGGTGATGTTGACCTACAGAAGGATGCTGAGAATCCCATGAACAGAATATATAAGCAACGAGAAAATTTGAAGGAAAATGGAAGCAGAAAAGAAACATATACTTAAAATCAGAAAAGACAGTAGAAATTTCTAGGACACATAATGAGGAAAGAGGGCTTGGTGAACTTAAAACTCACAGGAGAAGGTACAAGGTGTAGAGAGAAACCGCAAATAATCTCCCGAACGAGTTCGTTTACATAGATGTCAGAACATTAAGTCAGAGTGATAGCAAAAACAAAAACATAGCTAAGAGCTACAGGGGAGCGGAAGTTGTGAAGAGCCATGATCGTTCGCCTACTGAAACACATAAAAGAAGAAGAATTCTGGGAAAAAAAAAACAAACGCTCCTCTTGTTTGATATACTTACAACGTTTCTAGCGTTATACACTCCGGTCTTCTTCAGGTAACTATCCTTGTCCAAGAGACACATGGCCTAGCAAATAATGTGTTCACCAAAACATACTATTTTTCGATGCTTATAAGACGCTCCGATGCAGTAGACGCCCTACCCACAAAATTTTGAAGGATAAAAAAAACCCCAATGTGGTGTAATGGTTAGCAAGCTTGTCTCGTTATAACAGTTACGACTGAATAGTGAGTTCGATCCGCACTGGGGCGCCATGTACATTCAGCTGTGCCACATCTAAGCTGAAAATACCAAAGACTGGACATGTGAGCAACGACGAATTTTTAGAGAAAATGGAAACAAAAAGGAAACTTATACTTAACATCAGGAAGAGACAATTGAAATTTCTACAGAAGGATGCTGAGGATACCATGGACCGAATATGTGAGCAACGACGATGTTTTAGAGAAAATGGAAACAAAAAGGAAACTTATACTTAACATCAGGAAGAGACAATTGAAATTTCTACAGAAGGATGCTGAGGATACCATAGACCGAATATGTGAGCAACGACGAAGTTTTAGAGAAAATGGAAACAAAAAGGAAACTTATACTTAACATCAGGAAGAGACAGATGAAATTCCTACAGAAGGATGCTGAGGATACCATGGACCGAATATGTGAGCAACGACAAAGTTTTAGAGAAAATGGAAACAAAAAGGAAACTTATACTTAACATCAGGAAGAGACAATTGAAATTTCTACAGAAGGATGCTGAGGATACCATGGACTGAATATGTGAGCAACGACGAAGTTTTAAAGAAAATGGAAACAGAAAGGAAACTTATACTTAACATCAGGAAGAGACAATTGAAATTTCTACAGAAGGATGCTGAGGATACCATGGACTGAATATGTGAGCAACGACGATGTTTTAAAGAAAATGGAAACAAAAAGGAAACTTATACTTAACATCAGGAAGAGACAGTTGAAATTTCTACAGAAGGATGCTGAGGATACCATGGACCGAATATGTGAGCAACGACGATGTTTTAGAGAAATGGAAACAAAAAGGAAACTTATACTTAACATCAAGAAGAGACAGTTGAAATTTCTACAGAAGGATGCTGAGGATACCATGGACTGAATATGTGAGCAACGACAAAGTTTTAAAGAAAATTGAAACAGAAAGGAAACTTATACTTAACATCAGGAAGAGACAATTGAAATTTCTACAGAAGGATGCTGAGGATACCATGGACCGAATATGTGAGCAACGACGAAGTTTTAGAGAAAATGGAAACAAAATGGAAACTTATACTTAACATCAGGAAGAGACAGTTGAAATTTCTACAGAAGGATGCTGAGGATACCATGGACTGAATATGTGAGCAACGACAAAGTTTTAAAGAAAATGGAAACAGAAAGGAAACTTATACTTAACATCAGGAAGAGACAGTTGAAATTTCTACAGAAGGATGCTGAGGATACCATGGACCGAATATGTGAGCAACGACAAAGTTTTAGAGAAAATGGAAACAAAAGGAAACTTATACTTAACATCAAGAAGAGACAGTTGAAATTTCTACAGAAGGATGCTGAGGATACCATGGACCGAATATGTGAGCAACGACAAAGTTTTAGAGAAAATGGAAACAAA